TTTCAAACGAGGGAGAAGTTTCTAGTTTTACTCAATTTAAAAAGAGGAAGTTGACCTACTAATTTTATCTTAAAATAAGTTTTTTCACAAAAAAAAAAACCATATTTAAGATCATAGAGAAAATTATAGTAGACTCTCCCATAAATTATAATGCAGGTACTACTTAAAAAGAGTTGATTAATAATCCAACTAGTGATTTATATATTTAATCATTGACAATTAAACACGGCAACGATTGCTTTCGATTGACACTTTGACGGCAAACGAGGAGTATAAAACGAGCATGAATCTTCTACCAAAAGCATAAATACTACCTCTGATATTATTTATAACACTTAACACTTTATTTATGGACTACAAATTAAATCTTATAAATAAGACTGGAGGTAGTATTTTATGTTCATAATTTTTTCCTCCTTCCTCCGACGAACTTTGCTTCATTTGAATTAATTATTTTTAAGCTTTCCCTGTGCAGAAATGTGACGATAAAAAAAAAGATTTTTCAAATATAAAAAACAGTGAGTAAAATGTAAACGGGCAATAATTTTCATTTAATTTTTACATTTACATATAATGATGAGAAATAAGATACTACCTCATGTACTAAATATACGAACTAGTTGAGGGTCAGATTTGGTCTTAAATATAAAATCTCAATATAAAAGCTAGATAACTAATTTAAAAAGATTAAAAACATTAATTAAATTAGTTATTTATAGCAAATATCTGTTAAGTTTTTTAGTTGTCTTTCACCCACACCTACTTGACATAATGTTGATAACTTGTTAGGACTCAACTTATGAAAATACTCTATGCCTGTATATCTATATATAATATCAAAATTTTAATACGTGATGTTTAGAAACCATGTAAAAAAAGGCACTTTTGTGTTTTAGGAAATAATTTTTTTTGATATATTATCCCATACAATATAAAATTATTTAAAATATATTAAACTAAAAAAATAAAGACAAAAATATTTGTTTTCAATGCAAAATTTATAATTTAAAAAAACAGTACAATTCATATATCTTTCTGGCAAATGGCCTTAAATTTAAGGAACAACTTATAACAATCTTATGATGAACTATACATTGAACTGAACTATACGAGTTTTTCAAACTTTATGACGGAAAAATAATTAATCAAGTATGATTATATATATATTGTGATGAATTTCAGATTACATAATTTAGTTTGTTATGGATTTCTCCTTCAAATGATTAATATTTAACATATGAATTTTAATTTTGGAACTGCCATTTATATACAACTTATAACAACCACAAGTATTAATTATTATGATTTAATTTTTGAATCTACGGTGGGTAATTCGAACATAATTTCATTGGACGTGAAGTTACTGAAGTTAGAATACTTAGGATAACCAACAGATAGTGAAAGATTGAGCGAAAGAAATTCGTTCTTTAAGAAAATTCAATGTTTTGAATCTCGTGTGTGTGTGTGAGAAAATTATTTCTGATTGTTGTAAGCAATATTTAATTCCAATTCAATGGTATTATTTCCTCGGATTTCTATTATTTTTCATTTTTAACTATTTTACTAAAATTTGTTTGGTCCTAACTATTTTAATCACCAATCATTGATCAATCAACTTTATGCTTTAAATCCCGTAATGCTCAGTTCGTTTAAAAATGAGTCTAGTCAGATTAAGAATATTTTTATGAAAAATTTACTTAATAATATCTATCAATTGGGATATTAATATATGTTAATACTCTAATATTAATGCCTAAAATAATGCAGTGTAATGAAATTTCAAACGAGGGAGAAGTTTCTAGTTTTACTCAATTTAAAAAGAGGAAGTTGACCTACTAATTTTATCTTAAAATAAGTTTTTTCACAAAAAAAAAACCATATTTAAGATCATAGAGAAAAATTATAGTAGACTCTCCCCATAAATTATAATGCAGGTACTACTTAAAAAGAGTTGATTAATAATCCAACTAGTGATTTATATATTTAATCATTGTTTTCTTTTTAGAAAGGGTCTTATTTATACAAGTACGAGACAGAGTATGCCCTAATTAAGAAGTTGTATAAAAGAACAATTACAATCATAAATCTTAAAAGATATATATTTAAACCTCACTTTCTTCTGTATTAATATTTTTTTTTTCTAACTTAATCATGATTCAAAAAACATGAATTGTTACCACTGGCCGTTTGGCGGAGTGGTGTGTGTGTTGCGGGTTCGAACCCACTCCTTTATAACTCAAAAAAAAAAAAGACATGAATTGTTATCTCTAAATTTCTTTGGGTTAAGGTGCGTCCAGCACTCTAAATTATTTATCCAGATGCGTCCAGTGGCCTAAAGTAATTTTGGGTGTATCCAGTGTCCTAAACTAATTAAAATGGTGCGTCCATATCCTAGACTAACAGAAATGTTATGTTTAACTGTTACTTTCCTGACTCGGCTTAAAGTTGACCCCAGATATTCTACATGGCAGACACACAGGCACCCGATGTGTATTATTCTTACTTAAAAGTCAATTTATTTAGAAGAAGAGGAAGGAAATAAATTCAATTTTGAGTAAGAATAATACACATCAAATGTCTATATGTCTGGCATTTAGAATATTTGGGGTCAACTTTAAGCCAAGCCAGGAAAGTAACAGTTAAACATAACATTTCTGTTAGTCTGGAATATGGACGCACCATTTTAATTAGTTTAGGACATTGGATACACCCAAAATTACTTTAGGTCACTGGACGTACCTGGGTAAATAGTTCGGGGTGCTAGGCGCAACTTATCCCAATTTCTTTCTAACTTATGTTTCACATTGTCCAATGCATGTTCATTCCTTGCTCTTTGAAGCGTTGGAAAAAAAGTTAGTTTATAGCGTAAGTTTATTTACACCGAACGACAATCCAAACATTTGTAATCTTCAAATTTCTTCCTAACTTATATTTCACATTGTGGAATGCCCTTAGTAAGTGGTTATAGTAGTATATTCATATTCTGTTGTTTTTTTTCAAAGGAAGAAGAACAAAAAATTGAATGATTATATTGTAAGATAAGGCAATAAGACGAGAACTCGCTTTCTATGTGAAAGTAATAAGGAGCATGGATAACAACATAACTTGTTCTAAAGAAAGAATTAAAACTCTAGTACTTAGTATTATCAAAAAAAAAAAACTCTAGTACTTAGTCTTATATATAAAACCTATTTTATGTGTTTATCATTTTTTTAAAATTAACTTTATTTACATTTTTCTAATAATAATCGAGTAAGAGAGGGAGGAAGGAAGGGAGGAAATTAAAAAAGATACTTAAAATATTTTTAAAAAACATATAATATTAGCTAATTTAACTAACATTCTTAAGTTACTCAAACTAGTTAATTAGGTCTTTTATTAACCGGAGGGAATTTCTTCTTAAAATTGATCAAAGCTAAGATATTCTAACTACATGTTAACAAATCAATTCATCCCTCCCAAAAAATCATAACTGTATATGAATTATCTGATATAAATCCTGCATGTTGTTTTTGTTCTTGCCGGAACAATCTTAGTTTTCTTTTTTAAATTGCAGCATTCTAAAATTTGCCATGTCAGAAGGGTAAGTATTCAACTACAAACAATAATTCAAAATCATTGCAAAAAGAAACATAATTAGTGATGGCAAGCAACAAGGTACTCAAAATGCCAGTTATTATATATATGGAGAAAGTGATTTAAGGATCGGTGATTTAGCACCTGCTTGGTTTTGTTTTTTTTTTTATTCTCAAAACAATTCTATAAAATTGTTTTTAAAAACAAGTTTTGAAAACAAAAAAAAAATTGTTTGGAAAATAATTTTTAAAAAATCACATTTGAAAAAAAACATATAAAAAATTGCACTTTGACAAGTGGTAGTTATCACCGATAGTGATAAGTAATCAGTAGTAGAGGAGAAGAGAAGAAGATTTTTCTAATTTTTCAAAACAAAAAAGACAAAAATAAAAACAAGAAAGCATGTAAAAGGTGTTCTAGTTTTTCAGTTTTTAAAAACATATTATTGTTTTTTTTTGTTTTTTAAAACAATCAACTGAAAACAAATTGTCAAACAAAGTTTTTTTTCTGCTTTTAAAAACAAAAAATTGTTTTCAAAACAAGAAACCAAACAAGTTCTTATTTGACCAAATTAGTGCCCATCTAATTGTAATTAAAATAATGTAATTTAATCAAAATATGTAAAAATATTTATATCCAGCTATAAAAAATAATATTTAAATAAAAAATGTTAGTCTAGAAATAAATAGAATATTCATGTATAAATCATAAGTAATCCAACAAAAAATATTAAAATATAAATATACTATGCTGCTATTTATATGATGTGGTTTTAAGTTTAATGAAGAAAAAATATAATAAAATTCAAGCCACTCAATTTATTTAAAATTTCTGCCCTGACCAGCTTGATTGGACGGTTTATTGTCCTAATTGGTGGACCAAAATTGAGTTTTAATACCACATATAAAATATAACAGCAAATAAAATTTCCACTAATGATTAAAAAAAATACAACTTTGTTATTCAAAAATTACAATTAATTAACATCCACCATGCATTCACCAAAAATAGAAGCTTCGACGAAATCAGATGAATTCAACGAACTTGACCTATTTATTTATATTGGTCTTGACATTATTCACTGATTATTATTTTTTGAATAAATAATATAAATTTCTCCGTGGGAACTGGAAATTACCAAAATAAAAAAGGATACGTTGAACAACGCTGGAGAAGAAGCCCATTTTGGTCTTGTGGCAATTAGAATCAGAACGGCTTATAACAGAGAAGGAGACTCCCAAGTCGTAACAGTGCGCGTGGTGCACGCATGAAATTCCGTGCGCATTGTGGGCGCACGTTAGCATAGCCAATGAGAATTGTCCACCTCAGCGCACCTAGCACTGACCCCCTTTCGTCAATGCCACTCTCCCGCGAGAGAGAGGCACCAAATATGAGAAAGTATTTTTGCTCCATTCTCGTCTTCCTCTAGAGAGCTCTCTCTCTCTGGGAGCCTTTGATTCCGATTCTGCCCTCCACTACTCCCTAAATTCCCCATCTGTCCGTAACGTATGGCTCCGGCCGACTCCCCGGCGGCGGCTCAGAGGCTTATCGGCTTCAGCCGCCGTACCCAGGCTCCGCGCCAGTCGTTGCCGCCGGCCTCCCCTCCGGTCAAGAAGTATAAGTCATTGACCGAGATAATGGCCAAGGCTCGGTATGCTGTTGTTGAGAGGGATGATTACAGCGACGTGTTGTGTGACCAATGTGGCTCTGGTGAACGCCCGGACGAGCTGCTTCTGTGTGATAAATGCGATAAAGGCTTCCATATGAAATGCGTGAGGCCCATTGCTGTTAGAGTTCCTATTGGATCATGGCTCTGCCCTAAGTGTTCGGGCGAGAAGAGAGTAAGAAGTAGGGGTTTTGTTGTTTTGGTTGGTTTTTGTTTTCGCTTTTCCATTTTGCTGCCGCAGGAAACATGCCTGCTAAAGCCGTTTGCCTTGGGAGTCGATAAATGTGGCAATGCCCTTGCATTTCTTTTCAATTTTAGGTTTTTCTCAGAAGAAGATAATTGATTTTTTCCGGATTCAGAAATGTGCTGATCTTAAAAACAAATGCAGTTCTCCCCAAGGTAATGTGTCATGCTTCAGACATTTGTCATCAGCAGTGCTATCGATTTATTCATTTTGAAAATACACACTCAGGGTAATTGTTGACAAATATAAATGCAGCTCAATCGTTGTTTGGTTGGTTACCCTGAAGCAGTGTTGGGTCGAGTTGTTTTATTTAGTCATTAGCATCCGCTGCAAGAAATTATTTGGAAAAAAAACATACATATCATATCACACATAATCTTTTAATGTTTGTACGAACCTTTTTGAAAGTGCATCCTGCCAATTTGATTGAGGGCTTGGTATTAGGTGGGAGCTTATGTTATGAGTAACCGCAACAATGAAGTGCTTTCTTCTTAATTGTGCTGGAAATAAAAGGCTACAGCTGTTTCTTGCAAATGCCATAATAATTTAGCATGCTTTGCTGAAGAACACCTCATGGTTAGGATTGCCAAATGGACCAATTTGGTTCTAAAATGCCTATTGTAGCCTGTATAATAAGATAACTAGTTAAAGCTACATGCTATCTGCAGTTAATGGAGTTCAGAGTTGAATGAACGGTTATTGACTCAAGTTTCCATTCAATGCTTGATAATCTATTGCATTCTTTTCATGAAAGTGGCATTAAAATTTCATCTAGCAATCGAAATTTCTGGAAATGATCATCGTCTAATTTCTTTTTGCATGGAAACCTAAAATATATTATGTGAGACATTGCTAAGTTGCATATTACAAGCTTTCAAGTTTTCTGCAATTTGTCTTATGCTCTTTGAAATCTCATTCTATTCAATGTTCGTTTGATATATGGGAGCAAAGATGTTTCCTTTTCAATTCATTGTCGATTATACCTTTATAGTTGTTATTCAACAATTCCTATCATCCTTTTTTATTACAGTTTTACAGTAAGGACGCGAGTCTTACTTTTGGTCCTCAATATCACCTTTTTCATTTTATTGTTCATTCCATTCTATTTTTCCTGTGGACTAAATAAGCCCTTTAAGGTGGAGAGGGGTGATTGAATGGAAAATTTCCAATAAGCAGTGGCAGTCTAGCTCATTTCTTCTTGAGCTTCTTAAATAGGAAGCATATCATCTACTCAATATGGGATAGGGTTTATGCAAATTTCATGTAAATTCAAGGGCAAGGCATATACGTATACATGTTCGTCATGTATATTATCATGTTTGCTTGGAAATATGCCGTTGGACATGTATATGTAACTCGTCCCTTGACCTTATTGCGGATGCTCCATTTCATTGAGGATGCATTTGAACCGCCTTGACACAGTTATATAAATTTATAGTTGGGTTTAAACAATAGAAAGCTAAAGTAATTAATGTTTTCTCAAATCATGATATTCTTATAGATTACCTTTGAGTCCTTTGGTATACATAATTATTAGCTATGAACATGGAAAGAAAAAAGGACGTGTGCTTCCAAATGACCCTCATGCTCTGATTAAAAAAATAATTATAAGGAACTGACAATATTGAGTAGTTATAAAAATGATATGATCTACATTTTATAAATAAAGTGATCGTCTTTTGTGCTCTCCATTCTCCTCTCCTTTCTATTCTCCCAGAAAAAAGACCTTTCATCTCAAGTAGCAATGAGGTAACAGAGAAATGCTTGTAGAATGACCTGTGTAATAGATAATCTATATCAGAAGGAAGTAACATTTGATGGTGATAGAAATTACTGATTGGTTGAATGAATCTTTCCAAGGAATAGGAAAAATTGGAATCACATGTTCATGGTTTCATTATTCAGTGAAGGATTGATTAGTAGAAAAGAAAGTTGGACATCAATGTGCATATAACGAGCAAACATGGCGTGTGATTGGCAGAAAATTGAGTTAGTATGATGAGATCCATAGATATCCATTTATCTTCATTGAAAGATATTAACTTACTAGAAAAAAATTTAGATGGCCTAAATTTTCCATATTTTGTAAAACTTCAAGGGTAAAATGTGGGGTTGTAGAAAGCCAGGTAGATTTTCTGTTACAATCTAATGTTAAAAATGAAAGCAGCTGTGGGGAGAGAAAGAGAGTGAGGAAAGAGGGAGAGAGGGCAAGAAAGAAGGGGGGATGAAGAGGAGAAAACTGCAGAAAATGACAGCGAGAAATAAATTTATTGGGGGGATTCTTCGTCAAGACTAATGAAGGTTAATACTGTTAAATAAGCTTTTAACTGTTTGTTCCATGAGGTTTTTGTCTTAAATTTATTCTTGCCTATATACTTCTGCGCCGTTGACTTTTTAGAGAGTCCTTTTGTTACTTCTCGAAATAATACATCTATTTTTAAGCTTTGTTTTCATGAATAATTTTTTGTGGGCTTCTAGATGCCAAGAAGCGTAAAAGGCGCACCTCACTGATATTGCACAAGAAACGAAGAAGACTATTGCCATTTATTCCTGCAGAGAATCCTTCCCAGAGGCTGAAACAGATGGGTTCTCTTGCTACTGCTTTAACAGCATTGCATATGGAATTCAGTGATGATCTCACATACTCACCTGAAATGGCTCCTAGGTCTGCTAATCATGCCGATTTTGAAAATGGTGGCATGCAGGTTTCAACTGATTACTTCTCTCATGATTTCATTTTCCTTCAAAATGAGCCACAAACACGATGGCTTATTGGTGCAGATGTGTCCATCATGTGAGCTAGTTTGATTAAAGATTCTTCTCCTTCTCAGGTTCTTTCCAGGGAAGATATTGAGACCTTGGAACTCTGCAGAGCAATGTGTAGAAGAGGCGAATGCCCTCCCCTTATGGTTGTTTATGATTCACGTGAAGGGTACCTATCTCTAACTCTAATAGATCTGGCCATCAATACTTGAACATTCATATTGATTATGCTTGTACTGATAATTGATCTTGTGATGTAGGTATACAGTAGAGGCCGATGGCCCAATCAAGGATATGACATTCATTGCTGAATACACAGGCGATGTGGATTACATTAAGAACCGAGAACATGATGATTGTGACAGTCTGATGACCCTTCTGCTAGCAACTGATCCTACTAAAAGTCTTGTAATCTGCCCTGATAAACGTGGAAACATTGCTCGCTTTATAAATGGCATCAACAATCATACACAGTAAGCCTGCCTCACTTACGCTGAAGTCTCACGAAAAGAAAATTAGATCATGCTTCCTGTATTTTACTGCATAACCTGTATTGCTTTGTCATGTTTTGTAAATAACTCAACATTTTGTAATAATAAACTTTTTTGGGTTGTTTCTTTGTAAAATGCTGGTATTTTTTTTTGAGATATGCATACTGCTTTTGCTAAATGTAAGCTAACTGCGTAAAATAAATCCAATTTTGTGCAGGGAAGGTAGGAAGAAGCAGAACTGTAAATGTGTGAGATACAATGTTAATGGTGAATGCAGGGTCTTTTTGGTTGCCACTCGTGATATTTCAAAAGGGGAGAGGCTTTATTATGATTATAACGGTTATGAGCATGAATACCCTACTCATCATTTTGTCTGAGTAACCGTAAATACCTCTTAAGCAACCTTATAGAACTGGGATGCATTTTTGGACCCTCGTGAAATGATTTTCATCATTTTTCTGAAAACCCTAACTTAGTGTTCCCCAAGATTCAATGATTTTTTCCCCTCCATTTCCTCCCATTGGCAATTAGATGTAATTTTTCATAGAGATGGTCCACTTACATGTCGGAGACATAAATAGGGTACCTTGAAAATTTTCTCCTCTTTCTTAGGAAAGTTTCACTATATGATCTAAGGTATACATGTTTTTGACTTACAGTTGAAATGAATGAGAAAGGTTCCCAAATTAAGGCTTTTAAGGTAAATCACTCTGACCCTATTCCTTTTCATCTGATGTAATTATAATTTCTTCAAATACTGATTTTAAATGTGATGGTGATCGATTCAGCATCGAATGCCAACCTATACCTTGAGAATTAAGGGATGTGGAATGGCACTTGAAAATGCATATTAGTTTCTTATTGTGTACATATTCCTTGCATATGAATTAAGAAGAAAAAGTTAATCTACTTGACATGGGTCTATTAAAGTATTTACAACCGGGTGCTCTGAATCAGATGGAACGAGTGCTTTCAATCAGGTATCATGTATTGGCCAAGGGGGAAAAATCAGCTATCGTGTTGAGTATTGAGTAGGTGTCATATAATGAAACTATTTATTTAATTATAACATGGACTTGGGAGCACATTTAAGCACGCTATTAAAATATCATATAATGAAAAAAGCCGTATGCCCTTGATGCTATCCGCTTGGTATGTCATTCCTCTAGGTATTGAGGGTCCCTTCAGATTGCCTTGGAACTCAACTTCAAGCGTGCTTAGCATTGTTCTTGCATCCAACTTTTGCAGAATTGTCCTGAAATTTCGAGAATAACTGATGATTTTAAGTTTCTTAGTCTTTGATGGAGGATGGTTTCCCCCTTCTTTTTTATTACAACTTGGGAGTGAGGATTTTAATTTATGAGTTTTTTTTTTTTATCAGCAAGGGAATTTAATGAATGAGAGGATCTCTTCTCTGTTTTTTTGGGTGGAGGGGTGGGGGAGCCTATAATACCATGCTATTCTGGATTACATTTTAAGGAGTATGATTGATATTCTGAAATCCTTTTAAAAAAATTGATTTCTAAATTTTTTGACTTTCATTAATTTATATTATCTTGTCCTGACATGCTTCCAAATTCCAACCATTCAGGCATCTCAATGCCTATGTTTCTTTGAGAAAGTGGGAAACTACTTTATCTGCATTGTCAGCAAATCCAACTTTCAATCTCTCGCTTCCACAAATGCTAAATGGCCATAGTACCATTAAAACCCACTAATAGTATTAACTCTAATTTTAAGGATCCAACTCATCTAATGCAAAGTGCTCGTCACTGTTTAAGTTACATCCCACTTCTTAAGATAACCAAGTACAGCGACAAAGATATCAGAATGATCCTACTACTTCCCTGCTATGAATTATGATCCAGTAGTCCTGTTTTGTTGTCTCTCAGCCACATAATTTCTTGCTTTCAATCTGAGAACCTTTCCACAGTACCAGACCTAATTCACGAAGGATATGATCCTACTGTTTTGGTCCCCAAAAGATTCGTATTTGGTTCATCCTTTTCTCTTCCAAAAATTAGTGTAGATCTGGTTTCACGTTAAAAATTATTAAAATTATAGTTTTGATTGTTTTAAATATGAAACTAAACTCATTTTTTTTAAGTAAAGGGTAAATACTAATGGTTTGAAGTTACAAGTCGCATCAAATTCATGATCTCTCACTTACAAAACTATCTTCATGCCACTGGGCTGTAAGATCACCGGCTGAACTAAACACATCCTTAATACAAAAATACCAACAGCCAACAGTCTATTCAAAAAGGGGGGGGGAGAAAAAGGAAAAAGCCTGGCTTTCTTGCTCAGGAGGTAAGAGTCAGATTGCTCCCTCACGTTTTTCTTTTTCTCTTTCTTCTTTTGTTTTTTTTTTTTAAATTTGTTATTTTATTTATTATATTCACCTACGCTGGTTCAATATAATTATTATTCCCTCCTCAGGATTCCGTGTTCAAAATGTAACGTTCTGTAGATAGACACTCCTTATCTGTTCCAAACATCAAGACTGTATCTTCTGAGTAGCTTCGGGAATTTTTTGGATTTTCCTTTTTCTGTCATTTTCCCCTGAAACAAAACCAGAAAGAATACGCATATTCCCTCTCAATATGCCCAACCATCACATATTTACTGCGAGTGAATAATTTATTTATTTTAGCTAATTCTGTTCAATTACCTTATCCTGTCCTCATCTGTCGCCACTCGCTGGATTATTAACTGTTAATTTCAATTTCCACGACCATATCCACCCACCCCACATATATAAAAAAAGGAGTCTTTCCACAACCCCAAACTGTTTCTTGTCATTCTTCTCCTCTCTCCTCCTCCTTTCTCTTTTGATCACAGGGAAGAACAGAGATGGGTAGCTTAGAGGAGGACGAGCTGGGTCGGATGGTACGAGATTTCATAGAATCAGAATCTCCTTCCCCGACGAACTCTTCTTCCTCGAACTGTCTTGCGTTGAGCCATCGAACCCAGTATCTTATTCTGCGGTTCTTCTGAGTGAATTCTGAGGTTCCGAAGTTTCTGTGATGTATGCGTCTGTCGGTGTCTGATTTGTTGCTGGTTTTTGTGAATTTAGGATGTTCTGACGGTGTGGACATCGTCGGAGGCAAGGTTCTGAAGCATGTGTTGAAGCATATGAAGGGAAGAAGAGATACTAAGAGAAGCACGAGTCTGCGGAACTGGCTCGTCAAGAACCTTTAAAATCGATGGCCTTCGTGCTTCTCTGTGCCAAACATCCTGGTCCACTTCCTTAGGTTGTCCAGCTGGTGGGTCTTTCTTCCTTCATCTTCCTTAACTCTCTCTCTGTCACAAAATCAATCAACCACTTTGGCTTCGTGCTTCTCTGTACTGATTTCGGTCATTTTTGGTCCTTAGTTCAAGTTAAAATTAAAAATCTGAACTTTAACTGCTAAGGTGAGCTGTTCCTTGCACGAAAATCCCACCTTTTTAAACTTTTTGTGTGTTGTATGACAGGTGAATATGAGTTATTGAAGTGATAAATGAAGGTGAGAATGGTAGAACAGAGAGGCTAATAGTATACATAGATTTAGGTCTCAGTTTGAACTCAGCAAGGCCGACACAATACTACAGAGAAATGATAATTTGTTATTTTATTTATTATATTCACCTACGCTGGTTCAATATAATTAATTATTCCCTCCTCAGGATTCCGTGTTCAATTGTAACGTTCTGTAGATAGACACTCCTTATCTGTCTCCAAACATCAAGACTGTATTATCTGAGTGCTTCCAAACATTTTTTTGGATTTTCTTTTCTGTCTTTTCGAAACAAACCCCTGAAACAATAATATTCCCTCAGAAAGAATGCAACCCCTCACAATTGCCCAACCATCAGTGAATAATGCGAGTTATTTATTTTTTTAGCTAATTCTGTTCAATTACCTTATCCTGTCCTCATCTGTCGCCACTCGCTGGATTATTAACTGTTAATTTCAATTTCCACGACCATATCCCACTCCTCCCATATATATAAAAAAAGGAGTCTTTCCACAACCCCAAACTGTTCTTGTCATTCTTCTCCTCCTCCTCCTCCTCCTTTCTCTTTTGATCACAGGGAAGAACAGAGATGGGTAGCTTAGAGGAGGACGAGCTGGTTCGGATGGTACGAGATTTCATAGAATCAGAATCTCCTTCCCCGACGAACTCTTCTTCCTCGAACTGTCTTGCGTTGAGCCATCGAACCCAGTATCTTATTCTGCAGGTTCTTCTGAGTGAATTCTGAGGTTCCGAAGTTTCTGTGATGTATGCGTCTTGTCGGTGTCTGATTTGTTGCTGGTTTTGTGAATTTAGGATGTTCTGACGGGTGAGACATCGTCGGAGGCCAAGGTTCTGAAGCATGTGTTGAAGCATATGAAGGGAAGAAGAGATACTAAGAGAAGCACGAGTCTGCGGAACTGGCTCGTCAAGAACCTTAAAATCGATGGCCTTCGTGCTTCTCTGTGCCAAACATCCTGGTCCACTTCCTTAGGTTGTCCAGCTGGTGGGTCTTTCTTCCTTCATCTTCCTTAACTCTCTCTCTGTCACAAAATCAATCAACCACTTTGGCTTCGTGCTTCTCTGTACTGATTTCGGTCATTTTTGGGTCCTTAGTTCAAGTTAAACATTAAAAATCTGAACTTTAACTGCTAAGGTGAGCTGTTCCTTGCACGAAAATCCCACCTTTTTAAACTTTTTGTGTGTTGTATGACAGGTGAATATGAGTTTATTGAAGTGATAAATGAAGGTGAGAATGGTAGAACAGAGAGGCTAATAGTAGACATAGATTTCAGGTCTCAGTTTGAACTAGCAAGGCCGACACAATACTACAGAGAAATGATAGATTCAGTGCCAGTGATATTTGTTGGGAATGAAGACAGATTGTGTAAGATAATCTCCTTGTTGTGCACTGCAGCCAAACAGTCCCTTAAACAGAAAGGTCTTCATGTTCCTCCATGGAGAACAACTAGTTACATGCAATCCAAATGGCTCTCTGGGTCTCGCAAAGAGCTTGAAAATCCCAGAAACGATTATACTGGTTCTGCAGAAATTGGCAACTGGGTTCCTCCAATGGTGAAGCCTAGGAAAATGGATTTGCCTTCTGCTTCTTCTGCTTTGTCTTGTCAATTCTCTAATATGAGCTTAAATTGTTGCAATGTCTAGCCAGACTGCAGAGTTATTATAGTCCAGTTTTGGGTCTACTTTTCTAGTTGATCCCCAGCAGAATCCTTGTAGAGTCAATGCAATTTTGTCTCCAGGCATTAAACTTTTCAAGTTTTGTTTATATTCTTGAATAATTTTTGGCTGACAAGGCAAGAGAGATGGTCTGGTATTATTACTGAGTTCATTGTAAGTGTTTATGTGATAATATATATAAACATATAATTTAGAAAGGGATTATGTAACATTGTGATGGTAATATTGCCCATTTGGTGAAGGAAATTTAAACTTGGGATCATTGAAGAGAATAACATAAAGATAAAGTCAGTCTCTAGAAGACCAAACAAAAAAAATTCACTTCTATCATTTTTTTAGTCATTTATTAACGAGTTATATATCTAATGTTAAGTTATGGGGGGAACAAGATAATTAAAAATGACAAAACCTAATAGATATATTGAATAAGTAAAATTGCTGAAAAATCTCGTTACAAAATGTATTATCCAAAAGTAATTAAGAATTTAGGCGAAGTAATTTATTTCAGCTATATGCAACATCTATTTAGTTATATGTAAATGTGTTTCATTTTACATATAGCTCAAAATATATTGCAAGATTTCCTGCTATTCTTTTTAGTACGGAATGAGCCACACTCGTCCACTTTGGTATCTTATTGAATAAAAATGGTGATATTGTTCCTTCATTAATTAAGAATTTAGATTTTTGGAAAGTATCATGGTTATCTAATAAAAAGGGTTTCCATTTTTTCAAATAAACGATTTGAAGACCTATTGATTCTAACAATTGATTATAGAGTTGATCGTTTGGACTTTTCAATTCATAGATATAGTTGAAAATATATTGCATGTAATTGAAAAAATTGTAACCATTAAAGATAAATAACAGTGGGATTCTTAAACAACTTTCACATACCATGTAAAAAAAAATTCATATATTTTGGAATGAGTAGATTTTTCAACAATTTTCCTATTAAAAGTTAAGTAATAATTAAACAATTACAAAAATAATATAATTTTAAAAAACCGGAGAGATTCGTGTTTTATGTTCACTGCATGTTTGAACTTTGAAGGTTGAAGGACTCTCTGGTTCTCACACGTTTTAAATCAAAAAGAAAAGAAAAATGAAATAAATCCTGAAAAAGAAAGATTCTGTCGTTCTTCACTCGGCTTTTTTGCAACGAAATTTATTATATTTGTTAGATAGCTTCCTTCTATGATCATGAATTTGTGAATGATTTTCAGATGAAAATATTCACGCAAAAAAAAATAATTCAGATGCAAGTAATAATTTGCGGAGTCACATGCCTATTGGCTTCCTTTGGATAATAATACGTGTTCTTTCCTACGACATCGTTTTGATTTCATCTGCACTTTGCAGCATCTTTTCCTTTCCATTGTCCCAATCCACGTTTATTTTTGCTCTTATATGTTTTGAAAGTTTATTTTTATAGTAAAAAAATATATTTCACCCATCAAATTATCTTTTTCTTTTATTTTTCTACCAATAAAAGATATAGTGGCAAAAAAAAAGAAGAGGAAAAGATATGTAGTGTTTAAAATGTTCTTATGTGAAGTTGACAGTGTCATGAACTTTATAACCAACCGGTTGGTTCTATTGTGGGTAGAACATACTTCTTGTGTCTTACAAAGAAAATACTCCTCCGGTCCTAATTATAAGACCCAATTGACTTATTTGAGGAGATTAAGGAAGTAAGTTAAGTTGGTTATTTATAATAAATAAATGTTGTCATTCCTAAAATATCCTTGCTAATTAAGTATATTGGCTAAAACTATCATTATTAGAAGGATTATCTTAGAAAAAAATGCATAAATATAAGAGACAAAATGGATTGGGTCTTATAATTAGGACCAAATAAAAAGTCAAATTGGGCTTTATAATAAGGACCGGAGGAGTATGATAATTTCGATGGAGGGAGGATTATTTAGATGATTTAATTTATTATGATAAATTGGATTTATATAGGAATTTTTACTCTTGTTTTACGTTTGCATGCGGTGTAATATGTGACATGAAATGATTGACACATCATTGTTGGTTATTTTGTTTGAATTGTAACAGACAAGAGGATGTTTTTTATCATGGAGGAATAAAGGGATACTGCACTAATCAAAGTAATTTGATATTTTCTGCCAAGAAAACAACTGAAAGCACACGGAACCAAATGCGTCAAGGAACATAACTATCTGCTATGAGTTTCATTCTTCTGTCGTTTTGGTTCATCTCTGTGTTCTCTTTTATGCTATTAAATTAAATAAAAGAATCCTAAATGAAAGAAATAATGAGGAGATCAAGAGGCGAAAACCAAAAATAATCTGTTCTCTATGTTCATTTATCCTATATACTCCTCCGGTCTGAAATGTAAGATCTCTTTTTTACACTTAAAAAGAGGTCTTACATTTAGAACCGGAGGAGTACAATAATAACATGGAGTACTATTTTTTGTTCTTAATATAAAAATTAGTCAAAAATTTAATTTTGTTTTAAATATAAGACTTCAATATATTTTTTCTCTAGTATTTATCCATTTTGCCCCAGGTTATCTGTATGGTGATTACACTTTTTAAAAGAGTTTTTATTATCAATAGATACTTAGATAGTTTCAATACATGTCATTAATAAGAGTTTTTTTTAGGAAAGACAACATTCATTGATCACAAACAACTAAATTAATTAATTTTCTCTATATATTTAAATTAGTTATCTAACTCTTATATTAAGGACTATAAGTAAGTAGTGATAAATATGAGGATTCAATCAAAACGAATATTAAAAAAAAATATTATCTTAATTAATCAAAAGATGTCTTCCTAATTATTATTAATACTAAAAACTTTGTCAACAAAAATCCAGTTGATAAAGAGTTAATTCATAAATTATAAAGTTGTGAGTTTAATAAGCTTTATTGATGGCGATCAGTAAATACTTCTGAATCTAGAACCATGCTTTCAGAAAAGACTTTAACGAAGGAGGGAAGAGAAAATGAAAGAAGGAGAAAGCTGTGGTGAATTATTGATTTGAGTATGAGAGAAGGATGATACGACTGATGTTATGAATGTGTTGAGGAAAGGAAGGTGACGTGAAGGAATTAAAAATAAGGAAGACGCAAGTAAAGGATAAACATGAACAAACAAACGTTGTCAAGATTGAACATACGAGGACAGTTAGCAAGAAAACCAGTGGCCACATCGCCAAAACAGGTGGCTTCTTCACACATCACCATCTCACGCAATAATCCCTCACAATATTTCTATCTCTTTTCTCCTTTTCACAACCCTGTTAGGATAAACCATGTCAAATAAATAAATGGCTATCAGTACGATCGATAATCCATCCATCTTATTCTTTTAATTTTTTATTCCTTATATTCTTATCCAAAACAAACCGTCTTGTTCACTCATACTAATTGATTGATAGTTTTTCCGCGTTGTTTCAATGATCATTTGTCATCCACTTACTTCTTGTATCATTTTATCTTAATTTATATGAGTATACTATTCTTAATATATGGGCTACATAATTAATTTGGAGATATTAAGAAAATTAATTTAGTTAGTTAATTGTAACAAATATTTGTTTACTTTTTTTTAAATATCTTATTTAATTATGTGTATTAGAATTATCTTTTAGTAAAAACCTTTACAATCAATTAAAATATTTTAAAAAAAATAAATTTGAGAAACAAAATAGATTAAGATGTTAATGTGAGTAAGTAAAATATATACATACATATATATATCTTTTGTACTCTGCCAAATATATATTTAATATATATTTATTGCATTAAAATGCAATAAAGTGCATCTTTAAATTTGCATAAGAAGTTTTTAAATTATAAATAGGTGAACAATAACCAAGTGAACCTGAGTAAAAAGATTTCCATGGGAATTTTTCCCACTAAAAGGCTAGAAGATTAAATAAGAGTCTACACTTTGAAATTTACAAGAAACTTAATTTAATTTAATTTTTGAAAGCATATTTATAATATTCAGTATATTTATTGTTCACCTGTAATCATTTTGTGTTTAATACCGTAAAGTATATTTAACATTTACGAAAAATGATTTGTCCCATTATGTTTTTTTCTTTATATTTAATTTGTCCTTAATATTAATCATCATAATCTTCATCATTGTTAACGTAATCGTTTTTTCTTGCATAAATATATTTGTAAAATTTCATTTGGTTAAAACATTTTGATTATTTAAAATAATTTGTCCTTTTGGATAAAAAATTGTCTTTCACCTTTTCGGTTTGGTCCATCTAAGAACATGCCAGGGATAGGCCCAAATCCAGCAGATCCTAAAAACGATATGTTGAATTAATATTGGGCTATCTAAGCTAAACAAAACAAAAGCCCAAGTTTTGTCATCCCTAACCCTCAAACCCTTGCTCCGCCGTCTTCGGCTCTGCGCGACACTGAAGTCTGGGCGGTTTTTTCATCTTACGCTGCTCCATCAGTTGCTTTGCTCCATTGAAAAATGACGAAGTTCAGGAAGCTTGGTCGTCCTACGGGTCATCGGATGTCTATGCTCAGGTTGTTAATCCAGTTCAGAGATCGGTTTCTTATTGATCTCGACTTTATCTGAAAATTTGCTAAATTGGCAGCAACTAATTTGTCTTTTTTATCTAGAACAATGGTGTCGCAATTGGTGAAGCACGAGCGTATCGAAACCACTGTTGCCAAGGTAATTCCTCCCCTCCCGTCTTCTCCATATTCCGGGCTTCTCATTTCTCGCTTTTCGCGCTAGCCTGATTCATTTCATTAAATGTTTTTAGCTATATTGTGATGGATATAGCTCAATTTGTTTTGATACCTTTGCAGTAACATAATGAACCGTATTTGCTTGTTATCTGATCAGAATGTTTTGGCAAATGCATAATTTTTACTGAGCCTTATTATCTGTCTTCCTCTTTACCATAATAAAATCAGATTGGGTTATAGCAGTGGAAGTTCAGATACAAACATTTCAATTTTCTGGTACGGATGTTGCTATATGATATATTTGTATTCCTTTTGTAGGCCAAAGAGGTCCGTAGACTTGCAGATAACATGGTGCAGCTTGGGAAAGAGGTTCGTAACTCCTTGTTTATGCGATATAAAGCCTTCATGTATGTCCATGGGGATTTCTTTTGGGGTCCTGGAAAGTACAGGAAAAGAACAGAATTTATGGGTCATTGCTATTGGCATTTCTTTTTTTTTTTTGGGTGATACATTGGCATTTTGTCTTAGCGTAATATGTCATTTTTTTGAAACGGAAATATGTGCCTAGCCAAGAGTATCATATATTTTGGTGATGTTCGGAAACCTTGTTTCTCAAGCTGTAACTTTGATACGCTTAAGGCTCTTGAAATTTCTAGGATGAGTTCAGCTATTTTTGTATTAGGTTGAGTATGCGTGTTTTTGTCGGCTTTATGTCCTAAGAAATTAAAAGATCATATAATAGCAAGTTAAATGTGTATTTGTGAATGTAATTTACGAGAATCAAATGACCGCGTATTGATACTGAACATGATTGCAGAGAACTCATTTTTAAAATAATTCATTACATATACTTGGACCTCTTGAACTTAGGTATTGTCCCCAACCCAAATTGTTGCAGGGTACCCTACATGCTGCGAGGCGTGCTGCCAGTTTTGTGCGTGGAGATGATGTACTTCACAAGCTATTTTCAGAACTCGCTTACAGATACAAGTGAGTGTAGAAAGGAATGTAATTTAAATGGTCAATTTATGAATGTTAATTTATAACGCTGAACAGAATTTATGTTTTCCAGGGATAGAGCAGGTGGATACACTAGAGTGCTTCGGACTCGAATTCGAGTTGGGGATGCTGCACCAATGGCTTACATTGAGTAATGTCTTGGATTCTAACTCGCTTATTAGTGACTGTTTTTGATGTTGTCTTTCTGTGTTGTGATAGCGAACTATGCACCTATAAGGTTTAAACCTTAAACCATCAGGCCCTGTGGATCGTTTGGAGGATATTGAATCTGGCCTGTCTTGATTAATTATTTTTAATACGTTCAAACAGGTTCATTGACAGAGAAAATGAACTGAGGCAGTCGAAGCCACCAACTCCTCAACCACCACCGAGAGCTCCTCTTGATCCGTGGACACGATCCCGTCTCACCAGGCAGTATGCACCACCGAAAGAGGAGAAATCTGACTCTGATGTGTGATTATTTTTAATGCAATGCTGATACTCCTTCATAGAATGCATTTTTGCTGTTTCAATTCTCTCTTATATTCTACAATACATGAGGCAATTTTTTTCTGTCTTGTGGGGAAAGGGTTCTCTGATATGTAAAATAATCTGCCTGAAATTCCAATCTGAGAATGGAAAAGTAAGATCTGAGATCTATTTTGTCTCCTCTCTCCTTGTCAACGGGAAAAAAGAGTTGATGCTAGCTGGCTGAGGTACAGAAGGGTGTATCCACGAAGGTTACTTGGATGGAAATCAAGAACTTTCTATCTTCTTCACTATGATATGTTCTGTTTATGGGGATGGCATTCTTGACCTGCTTTATGCAATGACGTGGTACAATATAGCTCAGATGTCCCTTCTATTTTATCTTCCTTAAATTCAAATCCCTTGCAGGCCCTGTTGCTGTTGCTTATAATTCTTGCCTTCCAAGATGAAACACTAAAGTTTTGCTGTTACCCCAATTTCATCCCTTATCCTTCTACATACCGAATATAAAATAGATCATGGTTGTTGCCTGTAAGCTTCGTTTAAGGCTTCCATTTGTTCTCTAATTTTATCAATAGACGCTATGTTTTTTTTTTTTTTTGGGGTGAATAGACACTATGGTTTTTTAATCTTAACAGGTTAACCTATATTGAAATGGTTGAATTATGCAATTTTTTTACTTTAACATTAATACAGTGTTTCACACGCGCGCGCGCGCACAGTTTTTAATTTGTCGAATTTGCGTACATTTTTTTCAAATTATTATTTTCAAAGCTCAAGCCAAACGACAGAATTATATGGATTTCCCTTGTGTTTTATTAAAACGGAAAATTACCATAGATGTCAGGTAAGAAAATTAAATATAGATAACGAGAAAAACAACACGAGCTTGATCCTAATTTAATACATATAAGTTTGTTAGTAAATGATGTAGTTTGAGTTATATATTAGAAAATTAATTTTTAGACATTAAATTATTAAATTTGATTTGTAAAGAATGGTTCTTTCTTTTTCAAAGTTGCACAAGCATATCACCGGGGGGAAAAAAAAATTACACAAGCATCTTTTATGAGGTGTAATTTCAACAAATTTATAAAAGATGTAAAGAATAAACTTTCTGTTTCAGAAAAATTGTATCTAAATTTGGAAAATAGAAAAGAACTCTATGTAATTAAAACAATTGTGAAAACTCTGTAATCTTAATAATGTTAAAAAGGGTTTTGTATGTTTCATTTTATTATTATTTATCCAGATCACCTAAGTGGTAAGCAGTACGCACCCATAAAAATCATTAATTAAACCTTAGAAGATCCATACGTAGATGTGATTAATGTTAAGCATAAAATACGTAAGTGTCAGTGCAAAAAGCAGGTAGGGCTAACCCCAGAAAGAAACCACCTTCAACTCTTCACTTACTTTGCTTCCAATTCATCCAAATACACGTCTTCATATTCCCTTCTTTTGCCTTTCCCCTCCAATAACTCTACCATTCTTCATCTCCCCTTAATATCTATATCCAATATTATCCCTCAACGACTCAATTATATATATATATATATATATTTGTGCGTATTTAACTGTAATGCATGGGATAGAGTAACAAGGATAAGCAACAAGAGGTTCAAGGCTTCCATAGGACCATACAACTCCGTTTAGTTATGATTTTGCCAACTGCTCTGTCTCTGCTCCAACAGATTCCTTTTATAATGCTTTCCACACTTTAATTTGAGTTATATCCTTTTTTGGTCTCTATTTTAATATAGATATGATCAAAACGATTATCTAATTTTCAATTATGTTCTTATAATAGCTTTCGTTTTCTTTCTTCTTGTTTTTTTTTTTCCAGTCAGGACCTTTTTCTTTTTCTTTTGGGGGGGGGGGGGGGGAGGGGGGCTTTCAAGTATAAGTCTTAACTTCAGTGCAAAGACTACAGGGCAAAAACATACAAAGTTAGATGGGAACAGGAGTGGCCAGCTGGTGCAATGTTCCTTTGTTGATAGATAAATAAGCAATCTTTTTTTATTTTAAATCTCCTAATCAACATTTTTATTGTGGTTTTGACGAGGTTCTTTGAATGCTTAACCCATTGGTTTGGTGAAACAGGATATGAATGGACACTTAAACCAATATCAATCAATTTAAAAGATGATTAATTTTTGTCCACTCTTTGCCATAAGAAACACCATAGAACAGTAATCAGTTCTTTGGATTCGTCTTTGCTAGCTAATTTAGGTGCCAGATGTTATCACCCAGTTTCTTCAAATGCAGATGAACTTTATTAGCATTACCCAGAAGGCATTAGATTGATAAGATACTTCAACTGCTCTTTTCTTAAACCCGTACTTTAACTGCTTCTTTGAGATTAGAATCAACCGTACCAATTTTTCAGAGAAGGAGATCAAAAGGTAACAACATTGACATCAATCTTCCCTTTTCAAGGGAATTATCTTTGGGATGGAAGAAAAGTGGTTAAATATCCCTTTTTGGCTAGCGATATTGGATTGAGCTATACGATTATCTTTACTCTAAATCAAATATAACAATTGCTTTCATTAACCTAATCTCCAGCAACCACTCTCACTAAGACGACAATTTTTATAATTTATTTTAGGCCAGTTAATGCTTTCAAGAACTTATGTTTCAGTTTTGAAGTGTCATCCCTCAACCTCCCACCAGAAAATAGATATTGATCAATAAATAGTAATTTTGATTATTCAGAAGGTGACTTAATTAAACCCATTTTCTCATGTTGGTAAAGGAAGAAAAGGGAAAAGAGGGCTAGCTTTTAAGTATTAAACTATGATGAGTTCTGACAAAAAGATTCAGACTAAATGTAAAGGTGAACTCTTGCATGATAATAGCTCCCTAATGCCTATGTGACGTAAATAATTGATCATTGTAAAGACGGCTTTTATGCTCCATGCGGCGCCTGATAGGTTGACCAATAGAAAGAAAAGGGGAAAAAAAAAAGAATTATCATGCAAAATGAAGGAGAATTTATGAGTTATAATAATGAATATAGAGAAACATGAGAGAGAGGGTAGGTGAGAACTACAATGAAACTGAAAGATGGAGGAAATTTTGCAAAGAAGTAACTGATTCTGCTTTTTTTGTCCGTCTATATTGACTCAAAGTCTCTCAAACTATGCCATCAACTGTCCCTTCCTCATTTCCCGGATATCGGAGAAGCTTCAAAAGCCAAAAGGTGTCTCTTCAACAACTTCAATTCCTTCCTTTCTTTTCCAGGCTTTCTGGGCTCATTTGTACTTCGTGCTCTTTAATCAGTTTCCCTGCTTCAAGTTCAACCACTTCTATGAAAATGACATGGCCAGCTTCTTAAGCCATAGTTTTTCCATGTATCATTCATGTTATGATCTGGTTTATTTCTCCTTGCTATGCCTCCCTTAGTAACCTACATGAGCCAAAGCTGATCAACGTGAGGATTCTGATTTAGTTTGTGTTGTTAATGGCTTTATCTTTTTTTGTTTGGCCATTGTGCAGATCAGATGCTGCATGCCCCTTTGAATAGTTAATATGAGAGCCACAATGGGTCATCCTACACATGCCGTTGAAGCTAGACACCGTTTACCTACTTCCATGTCAGTTCCTTCTTCTTCTTCTCTTCACATTCATTCTGCAAAACTCTTTCTGGTTCATCGCATTCATCACACTGATGCACTTAGCTTGAACAGTTTGTCTAAAAACCACTGTTTAATATCTTATGCTTCATAATATGAAGATACTGTCGCCAAAAACCTATTAATATATGTTGCTTTTGAAGTTTTAAGTCTATTATATGAAGTTTTCTTTGTTTCAGGCTGAGTTTTTAGAGTTTTTTCTCATGTAAACGTGCTTGTTTTGCTTACGTTGTTTAAGTGAATTTGTCATGCCTGATTCTCAAATCTGGTGGTTGTCGGAGGATTTCACTTTAGAGGTTTTTTTTTTTTTTTTCAAGTTTTGTTCAACCAATCTTAGCAGCCGGAGGGGGCTTCAGAAAGTTGGCTTTTATGACATCCTTATAATATCTCATAGCTTCAGGAAATGACAATGACGTTTTATCTCAAAATATTTGTCATTTACATTCAAAGGAACCCAACCACTTCCATATCGTATAATCTCACTTCTCAAATACTTCAAGACACATCAAATTATAATGTACTTTTAATTATAAATTATTGTTTGCATCATATGGAGATAAGAAAATATATATTAATATGTAAAGCCTCTATTTTGCGAGTTCTATTCATGAGAGGAACCAAATCCATAAAAGTTTACATATATAATGTTATCTAATAATTGTTTCTTCTTCTTCTTCTTCTTCTTTTGCCTTTTATATCCACTAACATGCTGTTGAATATCTACGATGATCAGTGAGGACTTGAAAAGAAGATTTCCAAGAAGTAAGACGAAAGATGTGGAGAAGCCTTTCCATTTAACAAGCCATGATAAGAGCTCAAGATGCAAATTTTCCGTTTTAAAATTCATCCTATTGCTAACCATTTCTGGCACATTTGTAACTCTTCTCTATGCCCCAGAGGTTTATAACACTAACCACTTATCAACCTCAGGTTCTGGGTATGTATTCCTCTGCACAAGCATAAAATATATCAGGGATTATATATCTTTGCCCTTCTTATGCCAGCTTTAATTTACTTTGTGATTAGGTGGATATGGGGTGGCTCAGATACTCGATATATGTCAAATGAGGACATTGATTGGAATGATATATTGGCAGTGTCAAGGAAGATGACTGGGGAAAATGAATTGCAAGGGGTTGGTCTTCTGAACCTGAACAATTCTGAAGTAGAGAAATGGGAGAAACTTATGCCTGACGCTAGGAACATAGTTTTGCATCTTGAGTATGCAGCAAAAAATGTGACATGGGAGTCCCTATACCCAGAATGGATTGATGAGGAAGAAGAAACTGAAGTTCCAGTTTGCCCCTCTCTACCGAGTCTTAGGTCTCCAGGAACAAGGCTTAATCTCATAGTTGTGAAGCTTCCTTGTCGCCGGGCAAAAAATTCGAATTGGTCAAGAGATGTTGCTAGGCTTCACCTGCAGCTTGCTGCAGCTGGGCTTGCAGCCTCTTTTAAAGGCAATTACACAGTACATGTGCTCTTCATTACCAATTGCTTTCCTATACCAAATCTCTTTACCTGCAATGAACTTGTTGCACATGAAGGCAACGCATGGCTGTTCAAGCCAAACTTGAGTATCTTGAGACAAAAAATTCAGCTCCCAGTAGGATCTTGTGAACTCGCAATTCCCATGAGGGGAAAAGGTCAGTTCTTTTACTACTGCTTCACTTTTACTGCGAACTTTTCCTGGTTATATTTTCTACATTTAGAGTCAGTGATTAGGTTTTCCAATAAGTTTATCAGTATTATGGTAAAACACTGAGGAGCTCTGTGTTCTTGTGCTTGGATTTATTTGGAGCAGAGCTTGTGTATGCTGGAAATGTACACAGAGAAGCCTATGCAACAATTCTTCATTCAGCTCATGTTTATGTTTGTGGAGCTATAGCTGCTGCACAAAGTATTCGCATGTCTGGATCAACCAGAGACCTTGTCATACTTGTTGATGAGACCATAAG